TTCGTTTTGAAAACAAATTAATTGGAAGAACAATACATATAAATGAATTTATTATATACTTATATTATTTGATGGAGGCATGGAGCTGTGCTTATGGCTCGTTTGGTGTTAATAATATTACCATAATCTCAACAACTATTTTCTAAAGTGGATATACGGAATATATTTAAGATTAAAACCATAATAGCATTAAAAACACAGATCTTCTGTTAGGATTTATTTATTTAAAATTAATAAATCAGATTAAGCACTGAATTCGAACCTTAGTGCTAGTGTAAATAAATCCAAGAAGTATTCTAGTTTAAATTAAACCTAATGGGTTTTTTAAAACACATAAATGATTATTTTAATAATAATGAGTTTTACTTCAAATAAATTACTTACAACAAAGTATCCCTTATACAAATATATTTATATATATTCAAATATATCCCTTACTTCAAAAATATATATATATATATCTTCAAATACAAAAATATACTATATAGTGTTTTAGTTAATTTGAAAACGAAAATAACAGTAGTTTATTTGAATATTCATATGAAGTTGTACTATTATTTTCTTAATACACTAATAATCACTTATGACCAATATTAAATGCAAAAATATGTTAAATAGTGTTTAAGTTAATTTGGAAAACAAACGAAAATAAAAGTAGTTTATTTGAAATAATAATTATGTAAAGATTAATTGCTTACTTATTTGCTTTTTCTATTAGAATTTTGTTTTTTAATTTGTGTGATATATGTAATGTACTAGATTTATACCCGGGGTACACCGCGAGACTATAATTTTTTTTAAAAATCGACATTTTGAATGGTTAGGTAAAAACCTACTGTTTTGTATTTGTAAAATGTCATATATATATAAGTATATATTAATTCGTGTGCAATTAGCATGTTTGAGGTTTCAAGGTTTAAAATATTGAAACGAAAACATACAGTTCATTAAGTGGCAAAGTATCGTGAAAAAAAAATATGGATTAATGTTTGTTTTGTCAATCGTTGTAATACTATTGAAATTATACTTTTAGTTTTGTAAATGTTAAGAAATCATTAATTGTCTTTGTCCTTTCAGTATATAATTTTTTTTTGTGCAAAGAAATTGAAATTGGTTATTTTCGTATGCATTAAAGTTATTTGTTTATCACATAAAAATATGTCATTACAATATTACATATTTGGACCAAAACTAAAAACTTATATATAAAATTAGTTAAACCGAAAAATACATAAAGAAAAAGTATTAGAAAACATTAAACATGAAATACATTGGATAAGAAAATTAATAAAATATATATGATGTGATTGTTAATCATATAAAACCATGTAATTGTTATTATAGGTTTTGAAAGATTAGAAATATTACACTTACCAACCAAAACTCTTATCCACAGTTTTTTGTAAAAGTATATATCATAAAAACAATTAAATTCTATAACATTAGAATAATGAAAATTAAGAATAAGAACCTTATTTTATTAAGCAATTCATTTCCCTTTTTACGTTAAAGAAAATGAATTAATAGAATGGACTTGTTAGCCTACAAAATAAAATCATTTACAAAAATTACGAAGAAACATGAAATTATGAAAATGTAAAAAAGAAAACTGGACATTAATTTTTTTTTGTATATATGATGATAAGAAGAAGGACTAACTAACCTTTTAATGCATACCTAATTTAATTGTTTTTGGAGACGGAGTTGATGATGTCCATAGTTTCCAAAGATCTGAAAATCGAAAGCTGCAACATAAAAGAAAGTAGGTGACAATTAATTATTTTAAAAAAACTAAACATGAAAAATAAAATGTAATAAGAACATTGTTTAAAAGATGCCACAAAAATCTCTATTACGAAAACGTTTAGCATTGTGGATCAATGGGAAAAGGTCTTCTTTATATAGATGAATGAAAAGTATTGAGAAGTTTAGGTATGACCTAAAGATTAAAACAGTTTTGCAATTATTTGAAAATTAAATATTTGATTTTGTATTATGAACTGAATAATGTCTATATGCATGGTGGAATTTATGAATGAGGAATGCTAATTAAAGATATTTTCATTTGTTTTAGGAAGTTTGTTGAATAATATCTAAAACGAAAAAAAAAAATCTTTTAGAGATATTTTATAAGATAAAATATATTCGCCGTTTTGGGGATCAAGTATATGAAAATCTCGTAATTATATGTTATATTTATTACATACACTAACTTTATATTGTAGTTATCTAAATCAAAAATTTTAATGAGTTAATTATGGAATACAAAATATCTATGTAAATTTTGACCAAAAAAAAAACAAAATATCTATGTAAATAAAAAAAAAATTAAAGAACCAAAAGCGCTGGATTTTTTATTTTATTTTTGCTATAACGATTACTAAAATATTTAAGTAAATAAAGAGATTTCGTTATGAATTTTCAGCATATTCGATTTATTGAGATTTCGAAATTTAAGGATGTTTAAGATATCATGATTGATTTCCGATTTCATGAATTTTGATTAGAAATAAAAATAAAGGATCTAGTATTTTGATAAAGAATATGCTATAATAAGGATTGTTAGTGCAGTTATTAGTTTCTATGTCCTATATTTTCTCGAGTCATAATATTTTTCCAACTAAAACATTCAACATTTTTCATTTCCATATAAAACATCTAACTAGTTAATTTTTATTTTTTCACTTTATTTTCTTCTTCTCTAGTTCATCTCTACGAGTCAAATCATATGCGTGTATATTAACTAATGTCGCTCCAAAAAACTTTAGGATCATCTACCAAAAAAAAAAACTTGATGTTCAACATTCTGGTTAAGTTTTTTTATGAAAAAATATGTATATTTAGCATTACCATCAAGCATGCTATCATCAGGTGCTCCGTTTAGGCTTAGATGTTGTAATTTTCTTGAATTATCAACAGTCTGAAAATAGACCCATGTTCATTTGGCTTCTCTATGGAAATACATCTGGTTGATGTTGTTAATTCTTCAACGAGTCCAACACTAGTGTGAACACAAAAGCATAAAGTGAGTATCGAAGAATGAGCGTTTGAATTCTGGTAAGGCAGACATTGTTACTTATTATTTAGAGGATTTTGATATATAGGGGCAAGCAGGCAACCAAAACCATCAGTTATATTCTAAGTATATAAACATGAACTTAACGTCTAGAAAGCCACATTAAAATGAAATAAGATCACCATACACAAACCTTAAACTTCATTCTCCTTTTCTCGATCTGAATCCACTTTTATTAGTGGTTGGGAACCCATTTCAACATAAAGAGTAGAAACCATGTAGGGCTTCGTTCTACACCAATTTGACTGACCCTTTTTTTTACGGCACCAACCAAAGTTAGCATTATTTCAACATTGACAACAATGTATCCACCATTACCAAATTCTACTCTATTACTACTTTTGAAAATTGTCACATTAACCCCATGGATTATTGTTAAATCAATGATAATTAACCCATGCATATCCTTGCAATATTTAGCGCTTGATTCCGGGCCATTGTAATTATATATCTCACCATCATCGGTTTTCCAATGATTATTCCAACCTTCAAAGCATAGTAATTTTGCACCATCATAGTAGATGTACTTTACAAGTTGAAACTAAGTTGTGCGGGAGACTTGATTTACATCCTCAACAATCTACGATTTTTCTTTAAAAATTTGATCAATAATTCAATATAAATAAGTTTAGACTAAGATGTAAGATGTCGATAGAACTATAAGTGATTTGATTCAATGGAGAATATGAGTTTGCGAATCTTTCACTTGATGAGCCGGATTCAGAAAATTGATTTAACCATTGATAATTGATTAATTTGTCTTCTTAACTCAAATTACAGATTTTTCAAAAAACTTTTGTTGAGATTTAAGTATTACTTTCTTTTTATTTAACTATATGGATATTTGTTTTTATATTGTAACTGTCTTACTCTTATCTTATTTTTTTTATTTTTTTGCCCTCTTTTTTTGTTTCTTGATTGCGTACCCATTTTGAATGAGCATATTAGCATTGCTTTAATCTATATATCTGTGTCATTACCTCAAACTATAAAGAGTTTACGGATTGGTCTCGAGTTATAGTGTGCAAAATTTGTTCGCCATTACCACTACAAGGGAAAGAAAGTTGTATAAGAATCTAGAAGATGAACAAATTCTAAGTAGCCATTTTTTACTCTCTATCTCCTACGAATCATTACAACCTCACAAGTTTTGACAAGCGATTAAGAAATATAGTATAGTAACAAATTGTAATTTCTCTCTCTGAACCATTTGCCTCACAAACAAGATTGTCTAATGTTAACTTTATGTGTCATATTGAAAACTTTGGTTGATTGACTTCAAGTGACATTAATGGCATCTTGTTCTGTTTTAGACCTAGAATAGTTCAAGGGTGTTACAAATTCACAATAAGGGTTCAAAAGTTTTTTTAACAGAGAGAATATGGAAAATAATACCTATTTTGTAAAGCTTTAAAAAATTATCAAAATAACAAGCACTAGCTTATAAATATTAAATGCCAATTCTTCAAATAAGACCATGGAACACCAATTCTCTTAATGCCTATTCACATATCTATAGTCACAATGAGGTCTATAGAGTCAAGTCTGACTATTAGGCATATTATATGGACCTCATCATCCAAAGATCTTCTCAATCATGATTTAACTCTATATGTTTGTTTTGTATTAATATTTATTGGTTGGATTCATAAAAGTTAGGGGTCTTTGGTCAAAGCAGGCTTGCCTCATTGTTAATTTAGATTGGTGCAGAGTTATAGGTTTGAACATTAGAAAAACAAACACGGAGGTACCCAAATATCTCTGATTCGTATCAAATCGGTTAACCAAATCGGTCAGGCCGTACCAAGATATAATGCATCTGCAAGCAGGTCCAAAACTAGAATGTGTCTTATGAAAAACACCAAAAGTATCAAAGAAAAATTACAAAAGATACATACAAAACTATACTATAAAATCTTATGCAAGTGGTACTGATGCCTTATTTCATCTAAAGAAGCTCGAACGTCGGTCTCATCATTAAGATTACACACTGATTTCTCGATAAGTATATACAATCTTCCGGAAACATTTCCCTTTCATTTTCCTCCAAAGCCAAAGCAGCAACACTGTCAATTGCACAAGACAAACCAATGTTCAAAACACTCACTGTTTGAATACGTTTTCACAGATGATTCTACTTGAGAAATGAGCTAAAGGATGTCTTACTGTGGAAGTGTTGTTAGGTTTGCTGGAGTTTGGATGAGTCGGCGTTCTTGAAGATCCACTCACATTTGCTCCAGAACTTCTCTCTTCGCGGACTTTATTGAAGATATGTGTGTATCCATCAGCTGATGACGGGTTGTTCTCGTCCCAGTCACCGAACTTCGGCACCACTGTGACTTTTTCAGGCTATATAAAACAGTTGACAACACATAAGTAACAAACAGAGAGATTCATAATTCAAACTCTTTGAGGTAAAAGTGAGATTCTTACGCTTTCATCAGCTCTAAGATTAGCAGGTTTAGGCCTAGATTTTCCAGTACCATCATATGAATTCTTATGCAAAGGTGACTTGTCATAACTATTGTTCTGAGAAGCTCTTCCTTGTCTTTTGTTAGCAGCTTCATTTGATGAACCACCAGCATCACCAAACTGCTTCAACTCGCTCTCTTCTCGGCTTCTCATATGCTCACGCGATCTTCTAACCGGCTCAACTTGCTCAGCTTTGGTTCTGGAAGGAGGAGGAGGAGCTTGTGATTGAGAATCAGAGTTATACTCCGGGTCATTCGGGTTAATGATCTTGCCACCGGGTGCTCGAGTCTTACGAGCTTTGTCAAAGTAAGCTGTGTAAGGAACATTCTCTTCAGCTTCCCAGTTTCCAAATTTGGGTACATTCGAACGCTATTGCAACAAACAATTCAATCACTTCAACAACAATGTCTTCCACAAAACATTCAACAGAAACATAAAGACCCTAGAGAACAATCATCACAGAACCAAGATAGACACAACAACAGCAACAACACAATGATCTTTGAAAATTAACTAAAAATCCAAAACAGAAAAAGAAGACAACAAAGCCAAATTGGGTTTATAGATTTTATTCAAACACAAACATAAACGTTGAAACTTTTGCTAATCGAAAATAGAAACTTTACCACAAAAATAGGAACTTTCATAAAACCCTTTTCTAATCTAAAGCAAATCAGAATCATAAAGTTGAATAATACACATCGCAATCCATGGAAATGTTATCTCAAAAGGAAGAACCATAAATGCAAATAGATAAAGACTCAACTTTCTCCAAAGACTTCAAAATAAAAGGTCTCAAATATTCACGGAATCTAAATCTCAGAGAGACCTAAATACGAAGGCAAGAAAGAAAGAAAGAAAACACTTACTGCCATGGGAGAGAGGTAGCTAAAGAATTGAAGTCTAAAGCTTTGTTAGGTTTGAGAGAGAAAGAGAAAGACAGAGAGATGTGAGAAGGAGAGGAGACGAAGAAGAAGAAGTTATATCAAAGCGTTGACTAAGTGATGCTATGAATTCTTTGACCCTTCTTCTCCTCTCTAATCTTCTCTTCTCTCTTGTCTCACTCCAAACTCTATAATTAATTTTCTTTATTAACTCTATTAATTTTCATGTATTGTGAAAAACACTCGAAACGCCGTTACCGTTACCGTTAAAGGCGGCTTTATTTTGGTGTCCATGTTACAGTGTTTTCCTCTTAAAGATGTAATAAATATTTGTGTCCTAAGATTTGGCTATGTGTGTCGGAAGTACCCTTTTGGTGGAATCTTCTGATCAAGATAAGTTTTGTGGCTCTACCAATTAAATGAGAATAGTAGAATTTGATTATTGATAGCAAAAAATTAGTGTTAGCAGAATTTAGTGAATTATTGATCTTGGATTTTAGCGGATTAATGAGTAGTACAATAACTGAAATTTCTTTTGGTGACGATTGGTACCGATTCGAATATAGATAGGTACCATTTGAAGCAACTACTTGCAATTTTTGTGATATAAATAGTTTAATAACTATTTTCATAAATATCACCATTTATGTAAAAATTCAGTATACTTTTATTACACTACACCCATTGTTTTTGAGAAAGAAAACTTACAAGTGTTAAACCCTTTTTCAAAGAAAAGAAAACAAATTTAAAAGTGTTATTCGAACCGTACTAGCAAAATAATAATAAGAAGGAAAAAGAGTGTTCTCTTATGTTATAAGATTTTGTTGAGATTTTGTGGAGAGTGCTGGCTCCCAACGCACTATCCAGCTAGTTGTGGTGAGCGTTTACTTTGGGATAGCCATAGCTGGGTACAAATCGCTAGGAATCGCGTGGAATATTGTGAACAAGTTTGGAGTCAATTTGATGAGTATTTGGACTATGTTATTGTTGATGCTAAGATGGATCTAGAGGGTCAACGTGTGTTCCAACGTCATGCGATATTCAGAGCCATCAACTTTGCAAAATGGCTGCGAGTTCATTGCATTACCCACATGTTGTTGAATCTTCGCCCTGACCTTCATCAAACTCGACTCTTAACCCGCATTCTCTTTGCATCACGTTACCTTCCCCATCCATTGAACCTGCTCAACATTCGAATCGCCCACCTCATTAGCCTCGTCTTGGACATTAATGACTCCCTTCCATTCTTAAGAAGGGGACCGGTTTTTGGTCGTCCAACTTACGATACTTACCGAACGGTTGATGAAATTGAGAACGAGTGGATAGGGGTGCAGCTTACAAGCTCTTGGTGGTCGAATTTACTGGGTATTTCTCTTCAGTGAGATCTGAAACTTTTTGTTTTTAAGACTATTTATTTTTGAATGGATTTTTCACGCTGTGTTTGAATTCCTCAGCTTCTGAAGATCTCTCTTTCTGAGAAGATTATCATATTAATGAGACCATTTAAATTTTTAGCACCAATATAACCAAATGAGTTTTTGACTACATATATATATATATATATATATATATGAAAAGGTGATTAATGAAAGGTAGTTCACCACCACTCCATATTTTTATGGTTTTTTTTAAAAAAATGTATGAATTAGTAACAATTGCGGTAAAAAAAAATTATTAACAATTATTTGAAAAACTTATTTCGCCCGCTCGAGATATTATTTAATACTTGTTACAATAATGATTTTTATTATTTGCTCAAAAAATTCTATTTTTGTTATGGTCATTATTAAACTCTTTTGTTTTTATTATACCATCTTTGTACGTCTGTCTACCAATCTGATAGAGTGCAAACAATAATAATCACTCCAATCAATATATTTTTTTGAAAAAATTGATTGCTGGCATATTTTTTTGTTGGGTTTTGTGCAAAAAAACTTCAAACTCGTCCATTTTTTTAACTTTATCTTTCATCTAACAAAAATATAGATTAATCTTACGAAATCCAAAATAATACCAATGTGACACTTATTCGCTACCATCAAGTCGTAAATTTTTGACAAATAATATATCAAATCGAAGTCCTCGCGATGAAGAGTTCAACTCTACTTTTAGAATTTTAAAAAACTAATGTATGTTATCGGAAAAACGTTTACAATATACGTATAAAGGTTATATTGCGTATTATTTTAGATTTCGTAGGATCAATCTGCATTTTTCGGAGAAGAGGTAAAGTTGCAAAAATAGACGACATTGAAGGTTTTTTTGCACAAAACCTTTTTTTATTTCGTTGAGATTTTTCGCAAAACAAAGATAGAAAACACTTTTCTCAAATATTTAAACTCTTTTATACGCTGCATCACAACCACATTTTTTGTTCTAATGGTTTTATGATTTGATATAAATAAATTGATGGTTTTGAATAATATTCATAGAAACACTTTAAAAGCCCTCAAAATAAAAGTATATTAATTATACGCTGCATCACAACTTTTTTTTTGTTAAAGCACAATCACATTTTTTGTTCTAATGGTTTTGTGATTTGATAGAAATAAATTGATGGTTTTGAATAATAAGCTAAAGAGAGTTAAGAATTGAAAACGTTAATGAGAATATAAACTCCAAAAACAAAAAAAAAATTCCTGGCGACTTTTTAGTTAGCAAAGTCAATGCTGCCTCTTTACACCGAAAGACCCTTTTGAGAATTTACGTACCTCTTTCTTCCAAGAACATATAACATGTCTCGTGCCAATGGCATCAATTATCTAACCAATGAAAACAAGTTGTTCACTAAAAACCATAATTAAAATATTATGTTATAATATTTATTATTAGACAAAGTTGAAAAAAATGGAAAGTATTTAGCCTTGTCCACATCAATTTATTTTTGGTTTCCGTAACGATAAATTATTCAATGCTACATCAACTCTCTAGTTCACATCAACTCTCTAGTTGAAAAAAATGGAAAGTATTTAGCCTTGTCCACATCAACTCTCTAGTTCACACGTACAAGTGTTTTCACATGGTTAATGCCTTAATGGGAATATTTTAGAAGAAAAATTGTTCACGAAAAAACAAGTAAGATCAAATCAAAGAAGACAGATTGTTCAGCTTCAGATTCTCAACGTGAGTTTGTCTTTTTATTTTTGTTGTCAAGTGATCATATATGTAGTGTTGCAGAAAATGTAAGACAACATTAAGAGGTCGTGTGCTTTCTTATAAATATTTTGCCTTTCTAATTTGTTTGGTGACATATTTTTGGGACACACAACAATCCGTCCCAGACCAAGTTTATTTATATATAAAATGGTTCGCGGTGGATTTATTTAATTTTCTCGATCCGCACTATTACGGTCTATAATTTTTAAATAGTAAATAAAAACGATCCAATCCACAAACGAATTTATCCGTCTCAACCACCGCAACCATCCATATGAACTTTCAAGTTTCAGTTCAGTGTGACAAAGGTAAGGGGTTAATCGCTCTCTAAGTCTCTTTAATAAGTCTCAATTCTTAAGTCTCTTTCACATTTGCCAATTAACTTGAATTTGCTCTTTGGTACTCTGCTTTTCTCGGTATCTTCTTCTCTTGGTTTGTCTTCTCACAAAAATAGAAATTGACCCGGTTTGGTTTTCTTATTCAACGCGTGGAATGTATTGTTCAAGTTCTTTAACTAGAAACCTCACTCCAAAATTGGGTCACATGAGTCAGAGAGACATACTGAAATAAGAATGGATGTTCAGAGAGACATAACTATTCGGTTCCAGAACATACATCTCTTATCTCAGTATTCAAGTTCCTCAACACTTGCAACATGTGATAATGTTCATGGTGACTTAGATCTTCCATGAGAAAAGTTTGAAGCTGCCCATTTACTTCGATCGCGCTGTAGCCTGGTACCTTCTCCATGACCCTATTTCTCATCAACTTCCTCACTTTGGCCACTTCCTTCCACTTATTGGCAGTTGCAAAGAAGTTAGAAACCAGTGTTTGGATCCCGGTGCTATCCGGATTCAACTGAAGAATCTTATTAGCCGCGATGTCCCCGACTGATAGATTCCTGTGATTGATGCATCCTGAAAGAAGAGCAACCCAGATGGGTAAAGCATTGTCAAGTTTCTCAGAGTTTATCATGTCAAGAGCTTCTTCGACTCTCCCTGCACGTGCGAGAAGATCGATCATACAAACATAGTGCTTTTCGCTCGGTTGGATATTATATTTTTTTATTATGACGCTGAACCAATGTTGGCCTTGTTCTACGAGACCCGAGTGGCTAAGAGCAGAGAGAAGGGATGCAAAGGTGGCGTGGTCGGGTTCTATGTTTGATTCCGTCATTTTGAGGAACAACGATATAACTTCTTGACCGTTTCCATGGATTCCATAACAAGATATCATTGTGTTCCAACAAACCAAGTCTTTCCTTCCTACATGTTCAAAGATTTCTCTTGAACTTGAAAGAGCGCCACATTTTGAATACATGTCCATCAGTGCAGTCGCAGTTACTCGATCAAGAACATGCCTTTTTAAAATATAACAATGTACCAATCTACCAGTCTTTAATGACCCGACTTGCGAACACGCCACAAGTACTCCAACAAGCGTCACTAAATCCGGTTGAAACCCAAGGCTCTGCATCTCTACTACAGCTTCAAAAGCTTTATTAGCTAATCCATTTTGAGCAAATCCAGAGATCAACGACCCCCACGAAACTGCGGTTTTAAACATCATCCTACTAAACACCCTAGAAGCAACCTCTATAAACCCAACCTTAGCATACATATCAACCAGACTGGTTTCAACTACAACATTCATAGGTAGACCTGTTCTAATCAAATACCCGTGAACCGAACGGCCCATTTTCCCATCCCCGAGATCACCAGAAGCTTGTAAGAGACCCAACATCACAACCCTATCCCTACCAAACCCTTCATTTTGCATTTCTCTGTAAAATTCAACAGCCTTCAACGACTTACCAGCCTGTGCAAACCCTATCACCATTGTTGTCCAACAAATAACATCTCTTTTCGTCATCTTTCCAAACAAAACCTCTGCTTCATCCATTTTCCCACACTTCATATACAGATTCAAGACAGATGAACAAACAAAGACATCATTTTTATACCCAAACTCCACTGCTTTACACCACACATCCTCTCCTTTCTCTAAAGCCATACCACTCAAACACGCTTTGATTGTCATAGTGAAAGTCGAGCTATCTGGTTGAACTCTTTCAGCTATCATCTGATCATAAAGTCGTAAAACCTCATCTGGGTTGTTTCCACGAGAATACACAACAATCATGGAGTTATAAACAGAAACACTTCTCTGAGGCAATTCGTCGAACACCTTACGTGCATAAGAAATCTCCCCGATTCGTCCACATGAAGCAACGAGTTCGCGACTAATGGAGCTTCCATTGAGTAAATTACCAGTAGTGATTACGAAAGCGTGGATCTGAGTGATGTGTCGCTTGAATTTACTAACGGATAGCAGAAATTTGATGCGTTTCGGACACAGGAGAGTCCGATGTTGTAACATGCAGAAATGGTTTTGTCTGTAATCTCCCAAACCAGTTTTCGAACTAGACCGAATCTTCGGACCAATTCGAACAAAACATAGTCAACGATTCGAATTCACAAACTCTCGCTCTCGTTGACCAACATGTGTGGTTTTTTCAGATAAATTTCCAATGTGATTGATTAATTCTTAGAACTAACTTCTTCAAAAACCAATTTGATTGAACAAGCCGGAACGCACCGGCCGGTTAAGGCATTTACACACACTAGAACCGAATTAACTAATTTGTTAAAAAATAGTCCCTCAATTTCATAAATAGCGTTTTTAGTTTTATTTTGTTTCATAAAATATATTGTTTAATTTTAATATAGTTTTTAAGACTAAGGGGCCGATTGGTAACGGCTGTAAGTTTTGGCTTTAGAAGCTTTGACTTTAAAAATTTGAGCCGTAGAGAATTTGGCTGTAAAGACTTTGGCTGTAGAAACTTTGGCTGTTAAAATCTGATTGGTAGCACAAAGCTGTAGAAGCTTATTTATTATTATTATTATATATTAATATTAATAATAAATATAAATTAGGTTAGAAATAAATTCATATGCAAAAATAAATAAATAAATAAATTGATAAATAAACGAATAAATAAATAGATAAATATTTTCTAGACATATAATAATATATATTATTCATTCATTTTTTAATAACCAGACATTGCAATAAGAAAAAAAAAACTTAAAATCTATTTTTTTGTAAGAACTGAAAATCCATTATTAAAATTAAATATTTATTTAAAAGAAATGACAAAAGTTTAGAAATAAATATTTTAAATACACACATTTATTTATATTTATTATTTGAAGCCAAAAATTTAATACCAACATATTAGTAAGAAGTGGGATAAACTTAAAAAACTTATATGATTTTTGGAAAAATACTAATTCTATATACTTTTTTAAACTAATATTAATGGTGATGATGAAAATAAAATTATTATTAGTGAAATGGATCTTAAAAGAAAGATAGAAAAATGATAATAATTAATTTATAAAAAAACAAATTGTGAAAAAATATATGTAAATGAGTAGAGAGGTTTTAGTTATTATGGGGATAAGAAAAATAAGTTTTTAATTGTTTATTTGTTTGATAAATGTCTCTAGAAATCTAAAGCCGTGTTTTTGAGACTTAAAAAAAGGAAGGAAAACAAAGAAGCAAAAAAAAAGGAGACTTTGAGAACTTAAAAAAAAATAAAGTCAAAAAAACCTAATTGGCAAAAAAAAAACTGTGAAGACTTTAGAATAGTCTTAAAGTCTCTAAAGCTTTGTGCCAATCACCTCCTAAATCTTTTTTTAAGATTATTTTAAATTATTAATTTGAAAAGAAATTTATTTAGTGTTTCAATAAAAGGTATATTGGTATAGTAGAAATTTACATGATTTTTTAATTTGTGTGAAATATGTCGAAATGACACTTTTTATGAAATTGACAAGATATATTTTAAGACATTAGAAAAAAAAACAAGTAAATTTTAAGACATTTTGGTATAAGTTGCATTCAAATTTTTGTTTGGAAACTCTAAAACAAACTTGAATTCAATCAAATGCATATTATTGATCTTCTGCAAACCATCATATAATATTTTGAGCATACATACTTTTATTCTCATCTGTGATATGAACAACTTATATAACTTACCTCTCTCCATCTTAACTCGTAAGCAATTCTTGTTTTTTATGAAAAGGAGATTTAAAGATCCCCTGTACATATATGATCATTAATAAACGTTATGTTATTTCAATAACATTCTCTAGGAGGAGTTTGGTACTTAGAGCGGTCAGTACAATAGTCATAGTTCATGTACTTGCTCCTCACATGCTCATAAAGTTTCTGTTCGTTTCCGCTTAATCTTTGATACTTGCCTACATTCCACCAGTAGTTGGAGGATTCACAAGCGCCAACATTATTACTCCGACCATCTATGTTGCAGCCGGATAAGGCGAAGTCTCGGAAATGGGCAATGAAAGGAGAGTAGGACCAGTTAACCTTGGTCCGACCTCCATCAGTCGCCCAATCGTCACCGTTCCAGAGACTAGCCTCGACTTGCATAGGCCTTGATGGATAGCTTACGCCGTTTTCGTTTTTGTATACTCTTATTGGGATGTTATCCACGTAAAACCTATCAATCATCATCATCATTTACCTCCCTTGATTATGATATAACAAAAATTAAATATTTTCTCCATTTCAAGTTATAAGATCTTTTAGTTGAATATATACATATATCTAAAAGATTGCTAAATGACTAAAGTATACTTCACCCATATCAAATTGTCAAATGTTTTGGAATTCTGTTTTGTTTCAAAATATCGAATTATTCTTGCATTGAACAACAAAATATCACTATTTGTCATGAAATGAATAGAGAAAATAACAAATAAGAAGAAGGATTGTGATTAACGTACACAATTTGATAAGGGTTCCAAAGAAGCCCATAAGTGTGGTAGTGTTTGGTTGGATTGAACCAAAGCAAAAACCTCTCTTCTCTGTTTCCTTCTCCATTCAGAAACAAATTTGTCTGTAACGTTACCGGTTTTCCATTGTTGTTCCCTAGAAACTCGAAGTCAATCTCGTCGTGACCACCTCCTTTCGACGTCAACTGTCATTATTTACATACATATATAGACAATTTATCGATATGAATTTTGCATTAGTCTAGGCATCTATGCATATATGTGTATATGATCAAGAATACAAACATAAAACGCTGTGACGATGCCGCCAGTATTTCCTCCAGGCACTTTGATTCTCATTTCAAAGAGACCTGATCCGTAGCTGTCCTTGGATTCGAAGCCACCACCTGTTTCATGTAGAAGCCAAACCCTATTAAAGCCTAATGGATTATCAAATTTTTTCTTTGTGTTTTTATATAAGAAAAATAAAGAGATACGAACCTGAAGATTGATCGATGTAGAGATCAACTTCTTCGCCAGAGTGGAGTGTAGAAAAATGACTTTGTCCCCACTTAACAACATAATTCTGACCGAAAGTGACAAATTTTTCGATTCCTCGTCCTCCGAAAACCCTAGCATCAACCCTTATGATCCATAACGTTACTACAAAAACACTAAAGATTCTCATATAGTCCATCTTTGATTTAATTTTTGTTGTAAGGTACTATAGTGTTGCACTGGTTTAATAGTTAAAAAAAGTAGAAAGCATGAAAGATATGGAGGAGACAAAGAGATTAGAGTCACATCAAATTCTCTATACATCTCCTACACGCCTTTCTTATTATCCCCATGCCCATTGGCATCACCATTTTAATTTCATCAAATATTCTCTCTTTTCTTTTCTTAAGATGTAGTGATCCATTAATTACTTTCTTCTACAACATCTTATATGATAATTATGTTGATTTGATCCACTTCGGGTAAGAACATATCAAGCATTTGATATGAGCCCAACGAAAAATCGATGTAATTGACAAACGTTAAGATTAATTGTAAGACAAGATTGACAAGCTTTGTGTTCTACTAGTATAGTAACACAAATTAAACTTCAGATTTTTTGCTCCTCTAAGATTTCTCTAAATTGCTACCTAACCTAAATCACGAGAGTGGTAGATAAGATTTTAGAAGCCTAAGCTCCACAATATCTATACAACATTACTTCATTACATAAGTCTTTTTTCTTTGTAAAAGTGGAGCTCCACATTTCCTCCATATTATTATTGTAAGTCACATTTCCCCCAATTTTAAAATAATTCACATCTCGTTGTGAATTGTGATGAATATATTACTGTCATGTCGAAATATTTAGTAACACTAACTCACCAAAAAAAGAAGAGAGACGAGAAAGTCTAAAGAAAGTGTAATAAGTTAGATTGCTGGAGTTTACACATCTATGCTCGTTCTCCTCTACTAACCACCATCAGAGTAAAATTGGTAACATCCGGGTGGATATTGTGTCGGGAACCAAATGGAATCCGTAGGGTTTCCGAGCATTGAAAATTTAGAAATTAAGCTGGTAACTGGAGCTTTTTGTTGTTCTTCCAGCTGCAAACATAACAAGGAAAAAACAATTACAGTCGGAGGCAGAATTCATTGCGTTAGGAATAAAGAGGAGAAGATGAGGGAAATGTTACCTTAGGAAGTAATAATAAAAGAAGTCGGCATAGAGCAGTGTTTGAACAAACCCGGCGATCCATGCTGCATCATCGTAATCAAACATTTTTGAAATGTCAGATGATGAATAATAATCAAGACAACTCATATTGAAAAATGTGAATCATAAGAGGCAATGATGCATTAGGCATTTTTCGGCATGAGAACCAACATGCTTTCACACAAAAATTATGTATCAAAGAGGCTCCACATGTATCTATTGAATCCAAATGCTATATTTAGTCAGACCTTATGGCAAGGAAAAGGGCCATAGTTGACATCACATTTTCAGTCATAAGTTGCAAACGTTGACAAAAGCTAATCCAATTAGGAGGAAAATAAACAGATGCTCATGGGCTAACATGTGCTGCGTGTAAATGCCGAGGAAGGTTGAGAGAGAAAGGAACATACTTATCCAGTGAACAAAGTGCGGCTCAGTGAAGTAACGGTAGATCCAGTTGAGTATGTATAATCCACGGTACCCCCTGCAAGAAGAAGGCATTATTGGCATTGAAATCGAATTATGAAACTCAGAGGGTAAATAACTCATAAATTTTAGCAGGAGAACAGTCAATGATGTAAATAGGGCAACAAGTTATTCAAGAAAGACAACAGATAGCATTGATCCATAGCACATTAGTAGAACAAAATCCAAAAACCGTGAAGTACCCAGACATGGACAGGAGAAGTTCTGGGAAATGAAGAAGCAACGATACTTTTCAAATAAAGGGAAGTTAAGGAAACAAGATCGTACCCAAGGAGAAATATGTACTGCCCGGTCAAGTTGTCAATATTTCTAGTCCTTTGTAGCAAGACAAGCTGAGGTAATATGGCAACAGCCTCCAAGTACAATGAAAACGTCCATAGTACCTAATATCATAAAGCAGATACCAGTTGAATAAAAATAAATCAGCCTATCAAACAAAAGTGTTCAGACTCCTGGAAAAATAAATTGAAATTCTTTTGAGAAGACAAACCTCGAGAAAGGTAAACTTTTCATGAATCAGAAGAGCTAAGAGTAAGCAAGGAAGCACAAGGAACCAATGACGAAACGTATCTTGCTCCCTATCGTAAGTCCTGTGGACGGCCTTATGATACCTCATGTACCAAACAATCGAAAAGGAACTTCCTAAGAACACCAACTTCATAGAGGTGTTATAGAGTGACACGAAACTCGTGAAAATATCCAAATAACGCGTCGCAAAGACAATGGCATAGAGTTCTTGAGTCTTCAATGAAACACCTGCAAATATACCAAACACAAATTCAAATTCTCATAAAATGCGTGTTCTCAAACATAGAATCGAACGTAATAATCCAACAAACTACATTTAAAACCTCAATTCCGTTAGATCCATTCATACAAATTGCACCAATTGAATTATTCTTCGATCAATCTCTCCAAAACTCGAATTAGATCCAACATTTCTACAATTCGAACTAACAATTGGAAATCCCCAAATTGACAGAATCATTAATCGAGTGTGAATCATAGGTCAACGTCAATCGAAGAAAACATCGAGAAATCGCCTAATCTAATCGCATTTCAGCCAAATTCAGAGACGATTAGAGGAAAATGTACATACCAGCGCAGGATTTGATGGTGTGGATCTTGAGAAGCAAGACCAGAACACTGGCTAGGTGAGTCATATCACCAGCTAATCTGAAAATGTTCATCTTCGATCGTCTTCTTCACGTCTCGTCTTTTGAAATTGGAGAAACAAAGATCTCTCTAGGGTTTTATGAAGCTCCTTGCTTCTTTCGTCGTTGCCTTCTCCTACACCACTGTTCGTGCTAGATCTCGTTAATGGCGTTTCCACCAATTTTCTCTGTTTTTTTTTTTCCTTTTTTTTCCAAAAGGTAAGAAAATAAATGATAGTAATTGACTAATGAAAGCCCATGACTTCTCGTTATGGGCCTAGTTTTGGGCTAGCCAACTGGATGCTAATCGGTTTGGTATAAAACCGGTGGTTATCTAAATTAACCTAAGCAAAGTACAAATTGAAAAGATAGGTGAGAGTTAGTTAGTTAACCAGTGAAGCTTTCTTTGAGTTAGGTGCTTGCGGTAACCATAAGTGTAGTTGGAGGATTGTTCACGTCTAGCCCGACCACTTATTGTTCTTGTTCAAATCAAACACATCAGTGACATCCAAATTAAATTAAGTATTTATGGTACAACCATCAACTTTTTGTTTTACTATGCAAACTTTATTCATTTTAATTTGATTTGACATATTTTACATGTAAGATAGATGGGTTTGGTCAAATTTTCCATTAAAATCATATAACAAGTACTAACCACTTAGGTTTTGAATGGATTAAATCATTAGCATAATATATTATTTTATTTTTAGGACGAACAGCAATCCACTGCGGAGTAAGAGTTTGAATAGATGTTGCGGCAGAGCAGACTAAATTATTAGTGGACTAGACCACTCTATCTTTGGAACAGACAATAATCTGACGCGGACCAAGTTTAATTCTATATAAAAACGGTCCGTAGTTGGTTTGAGGCGGACTTCTTCTATTTTCTCGGTCAACATCACTATGGACTATAATTTATAAACGGTAAACAAAAAGCTGTCTAATCCACAAACGGATTTGTCCGCCGCAACCATTCGAACATTGTGTGTTGATGATTAATGATAATAGTTTGATTGATCTAATTTATCTGTTTTCTCCAAATAACATAAACAATCTAGGTTCCATGGAGATGAGAAAGAAAGTAATTTCTACAAAAGGATTTCTCATCAAATATGCAACAACACATTACAACAACAAAGGAAACAACCTGATTATGATAAATTAAGATAATTAAAACTGAAAAGTCTAAAAAAGATCAAGAACTTCTAAAATTGTGGTATTACATAGAGGACAGTTTCCTCTTTGAACCCAAAGCTCTCTAGAACACAACCTACAAAACGTATGACCACACGGAATAAACGCAGCTCCTTTGCTTCTAACCATACACACACAACAACTTATCTCCGCCGCCGTCACCGCCACCTCCTCCTCCGCCTCTTCATCTATGCCTACCAAACTCATTTGCCCTTCATTCTCCTCCAACAACTCCATCAATGACATCCTCGCCGGCTCCACTTCCCTCTCCGCCGGCGTTTCCTCTTCTCTAGCCGATAATGCTCTCTCCTCTGCCAACACAGCTCCTAACCGAATCCTTCCCTCCGCCGAAGAAGCTTCCTCCGTTATGTTTGAGTTGGAAAGGAGGAAACCGAGTTGGTGGCTAACGTTATCCCGGTTAGGAATATGCGTATCCAAACTCGGGATAGAATTAGACGAGATCCAAACAGAACCGTTACGTTTAAGACGGAGCTTTTCACGGAGACTTTTCCAAGCCGTTTTATCTCGAGGGCTTTGGTCGTGTCGGTGCTCTCTTTGCATTACTTCAAGAAGTGACCGGTTAGATTGGCTCCTCGACGGCGGTGGTGAGAGAATCTGCGGCGAGGTTCTGTTTTTATCAGCCATTAGAATAGCTTCAAGAGTTAAACAGCTCCGGCTAGTCTCCACCGTTGACATACGATCTAATAAAGTCACTCTTAGCCTATCACCACCGTCCATTTGAATCATCTTTCACCGATTCAAAGCACAAATAATTAGAATGTGAACTGCAAAAAATGAAAAATTGTCGATTAAACTTATTAATATAGAGAGGCTAAAGAATAAGTTTCAGCTCCTTGCCAATTAAAAAAAAAAAAACTAAAATTTCCGATACCACAAAATATCATTAGAGTCAAGACTCATTTACTATTTCAGCTTCAAAGAAAACCATAAAATTCAAGAGTTTTTTCGCAGTGAATCAGATAAAACACCTTTTAGTCTTCACGTTTGCAGGAGAATCCGAAATCCAAGAGCAGATCTGTAATAAATAGAATATACTTTATTCATTAAAAACAGAGAGAGAGAGAGAGAAAGAGAACTTTTGATTCTTCTTTAAAAAAAAAGTTCAATGTCAGACAACAATCATAATATTTCTCAGAGAAATACAGAAGAATGAATATATAGAATCCACAAAATAGATTACTTTACATTTTAGATTGATAATTCAAGCTCTTGAACACTTTCTTTTCGCTTTCTCTTTTATGTGAAAGAAAGAGATTATATAAAAAGAGTGTGTACGAGCAGAAGACGACCACGATTGGTGGTAACGGGTAAGCGTTATTTAGAGCAATTAGTTGGTAAATTTACTTATTTACCCATACATCTTTATTGATCAATTCTATTGACTTTGTGTGTGGCTAAAGGGTACATATGAGATTAATTCTTACAGCTAAGTCATTTGTTTGTCTGCAAGTTTCTTTAAGGAAACGGCAAATTGTTAAGCACATGACAAGTGCAATTTTATTCTTGTCGTTTTTCACTAACTAGTAGTTTTGGACTCCACATCACAAGATTTTTTTATAGCGATTTTACCAACACAATTACTTCAAGAGTGGTTTGTGAAGGATCATGTTAAATTCAAAATGTGTAAACAGTTTTGTTACACAAGTTAGACCCGACAAGGAAGAAAACCATTATGGTCAGGTCGGATTGGGCTAGACTGGTCGGTTTCGACAATCTATCTATTACTAATAAAAGGAACTCATTGAGACTTCTCACTGTGTCCACATCAGCATTTTAAAAAGACATTCTCAACACGCCACGTCAGCTTAGTCTCCTTAAAATTCTAAATCTCTACAAAGTTGCCATTTTATCAAACTCAAGCGACTAAAATTGAAAATGAATAATTGGGGTTTAGGGTTTCCCAACAATGTCGCTATAGATTCTTCACGTTTTCAGTTTCGTCTCTACAGATACAAAGGAAAAGCCAATCGAGCGATGATATATATAAAGCACGAAACCGTGATGAAATGCCAACTGCCAAGAAAGCACACAGTGGCAGGGTTTTCGATACGTAGACCTATGGGTTGAATCAATTTCAAAAACGTCATTCGGAATCAACTATTGCCAGATTCAGCAAAATTTGCAAGCTTCGGTATTTGTTCTCGACCTTGGGGTCACATGGTGTCTAAACGTATGCATATTGCATGTTTGAATTCAGTTTTTCACGGTTTTAGGCTTATATATCGTTCGCCTTCCATAAAAGAACCTCTGCTTTTTCTGCACAATGAAACAGTAATGGGAGAGAACGAGGAGCCATCATCCCAACCATTAAAGCCAGCCAGCTTCAGGTCACGAACTGGATATTGGTCGAAACCAAAGTTAATCACCCGTTTCATATTCTTGGTTTCCATGGTGAGCGATATTAACCACTAAACCTGTTATATATAAGCATAGTTTTAATGGTTGCCAACAAATAATGCTTCCGAAGTGAACTTGATGACTATCCAGATTTAATATTTTGTGGTTTTCTCTTTACTAAAATCGATTTGATGTTGCAAGAATTACATTGTGTAGCCAGATTTTGGAACATGAATGAGTTACTTAGGTTTGCCATCTGTCAATGATGTGGATTATGAACTGGGCACGATGAATAACCAGATAAAAAGGAGCATCCGTTGCGTGCTTTTTAAATATTAGTAGAGAGAGGTGGTATTATAGTCTTTGATGAGAAGGTTGTTTAAATTAAAGTTTGTTTTCCGGATCTCTGGCGCTTCATCCTGCTTCTAAGACAGGAATCAAATGAATGATGATAATGTGTTAAGACAAATGCTTTCGTAAAAGTGAAAAAAAACAAAACAATATGGAGGTGGTTTCATCCTCTTCAATGAAGCTATTGCTTTTCCTCTATCTTCTTTCTTTTGTTTTGTTTCAATCTAAATCTGCATTGAAATTAAGGTCTTCCATGTCACTGGTGAATTCTCATAGTTATTAGTTAACTCAGTAGATGAAACTTGTCATGATTCCCACAGATATAAAGGCTGCCTTTCAGCAAGGAAGTTCAGCTTATCTTCTTACACACTATCATTAGCCATGTATGTGTTAAACATAACAAATCTTTATAGTAATATCACTTCTAAAATTGCAGATCCTTGAAGCAAAGTTTCGTTCCTTTCCCTCAGCATAAACGTTTGTGGCTTTGTGCCTTGATAGTTTGCCTCACTAAAATTGATGACTTGTGAAGATGGATATAGTTTTTGGTCCCTAAAACTTGGGATACATGTCATATGATCAGTTTTATACTTTTATGTCAAAGCTATATAAGCTTACACTTGTGATCATGATGGCTATAGTTAAAAAATGATTCACATTTGGACGCTTCCTATAAAAATCCAGCAAGAGAATTCGGAAAAATCAGTGAACTTTGTGCACCATCTCTTATATATAAACAACTTGCTGAAACTTTGTAGTAGGAGGTTACGATTCTTTCACATAAATACTCAATAGTCTTTTTCTAAAGTATTCCATAAAATTATCAAATGTGCTTAATGTTAATATATGAACTAATATGATAGTCATACGATCTAAGAATAAGAAAAATAGTATTCATACTTAAGTATTGATAACATCTAAAATCCAGTTGTTGCTTTAAAGAAAATAAATTTCATAGGATTTTACGTTTAATTCAAACTGACACTTTTTTTTTTTCACCATTCAAACTAACACTTAAACTTTCAGAAAAGGTACATATTAAAAAATATCAGTTGAAATATTACCAACTAGGGATTGACCCGCGGTACACCGCGGGACTATATTTTTATTTAAAAAAATAATATATGTTTGTTTGAGAAAAATCAATATAGGTTTTTAATATAATAAGTCTTTATATAACCTATTTACATGTGTAATTAGAATATATATAGAAATCTATATAGTGTTAATTGTACGATTAGTATATTGTATGTTTGAATATTTATAATAATAAAGGAAAATGAGATTACTATTTAGTAAGCGACGATGTACCGCGGCGTGTGCAAATAACGTATCATCTTATTGTGTTTGTTGTATATTTAAATAGTTTTGAAAGTGTGTAAGGACTTTATATATATGTGCAAGTATCTGTGTTAGAACGTGGGTCTCCAAAACCCAATGTCGTAGGTTCTGGTTCATAACTTTTGTTTATAGTACGGTACACCGCGGGACGATATTTTTTGAAAAAAAATTAAATTTTAAGTTGCATTTGTTTTGTTAATATTGTTTGTTTTGTTTAGTGTTTAAGATAGTATAAGTGTATTTTGATTGTTAATTCTAAGATTTCACCTGTAGTATACCATCCCGTATTAATATTGACCATAACCCGTCCCACCATATAACCCCGTCCCGTGAAATTAACCATCATTTTATTATTTTCTTATAAATTTTTTATATTTATAATATTTGAAACTTCATAAAAGTTTTAATATCGACCCAAAATTCATAATTGTATTTTGATTGTTATATCTAGGATTTCACCTGTAGTATACCGTCCCGTATTAATATCTTTTTATAAATATATAATGTTTAAACTTTATATAAATTCATATAAAGTTCAAATATTTATAATATTTGAAACTTCATTAAATTTTTAATATTATAAATATTTAAACCGTTTTATAAAGTTTAACTTTTCAAAAGTTTACAAAATTATATTGTTTAAATTTTAATAAAATTCAAATATATATAATATTCTGAATTTGTATATATAACAATGTTGGATTTTAACAAAAAAAATTATTTCGTATAAAAGCTATATGATTACACTTTTGGATTGTTAGATTTAACCCATAAAATATATGTAATATAGTAACTCAATTACATATTTAAATATTGACCCGTGGGATAATTTTGACTTTTCAATTTTGATCTTCATAAATTTATGATTTTTGTAGTATATAAAACTGAATGGTGGTGTATGGTGTATGAAAACTTTGAAATTTGTTAAACAGAAATGTGTGTAGATGAATGAAATGACTGCTCTTGACATTTCTTATATAGAGATCATATAAGTTTAGGCCTTCTAAATTATTGTTATTTTCTTGGTGGTGAAGTTAAATTTTAATATACACAAATCTTATCGAGAAAACTAATAAATCCGAAATATTGCGATTGAATAAATGATTATCTTGTTTTTGGAAAGATTGTGATCTTTAAAATATATTGTTGTAATATACCAATGATTTAGAATATATATATATATTGTTTAGCAAATCTGTAGAATATATGCTTTTAATTATTTAACCAATTATGATTTGCACAAAATATTTATTGTTAGCATTAAATCATATTCGATTAATCAATCAAGATTATAGTAATAAATACAAACCACATATCTTTAAAATCGTAAAAAAAAATTGAATGTAATTAAGAAAAGTTAATATTTAAGCGATATTTGGGGATAATATCTTCTATTAATCTCTTCGTAATATTACACATATTTAAAACGTTTTAAATAATATGGTAATATATTTCTTCTTAAACATGCATTTTTAAATATGGAATGTGGAATAATTTGTGTAAAAAATCAACTTGTTGAGATATTATCTAGATATCGACTTGAATAGCGTTTGACTTAATGGGAAGAAGTTTAAATGGTAATTTAGATTTGATCACGATTATTTTGTTTTATTAGTTTCCATTTGCTAGATATTCTCGATATTATGTTTAATAGCATTTAAAATTAAATATTTGATTTCCATATATTTGAAACTCAAATCTCGTAAACAAAAAATTAGGAATGTTTAGTGAGTTAATTTAATATATTTTAGTTGATTATTGCATAAAAGAAATAGCAAACAAACTTTGGAAACAATTCAAACACCCGGATTATGTGCAAATAACCAAAAAAGAAAAGATAAACCACACCCTTTTCTTTCATGTTTTTTTTTAATTGATTATTGCATAAAATTAATTTGGTGCGAAGAAGGCGATAGTGTTTACAAATATCATTCAGAAAGTAAAGACCCATTAAGAATATAAAAAAGGATAAATCTATGTATATTTTCAGATGTATAAACCCATTAAGAATATAAAAAAGGAAATCAAATATTTATTTTTGATTCCTTTCCATTCGATGGACTACGATATTTTTTATAGAACTATATGTCTATACATCTAACCTTTTTAGACCACGATGCAATTATACCTCAAATTAAACCCACACTTGATCAAAAGTAATTCCACTTACTAAATTAATGTTTTCTCCCATACACTTTTCTTGACGATCAAACATCTGAAAAATTAACTAATCAACAATACACAAACACATCAAAAACTAAAAGAATATCTTCTTTCATTTAAAACTCTCTCTTATTAGATTCTCCCCATCGAGAATCTCTTGGGAACTAAAACCGGACGCTGTTTCAATCCACTCACCATCTCATGATCATCACACTTGGCTACACTTTTCCTGCTCTTCATTGGAGAGACCAGCCTCATAGCTAGTCTTGATGGCGAAAATGACCTCCTGAGCTTTGCAGCCGTTGACAGATTCTGCGACTTATTGCACACCCTAGTCGGAGATATCAAAGCTTTGGGTGACGTCTTACAAAAGTTACCATTTCTTGTCGGAGAAAGAAACGCTTGAAGCGTGACTCTTTTCAGAGAAATGGACGACTTAAAAGACTTGATTTGAAAAAGAAGAAAGTGCAAAAACAACAGACTTGTGATTTTAGTTTTCTAATACAAAATCAAAGTATCAGAACGTTCTTTAAGACCACAACGCAAGAATGGAGAGACAAATTCAAACAAAAAACAAAAGAAACATAAAAAGTTCAAAAGATTTGTCATATTTTTGACAAAAACCAGAAAAGAGGATTTTAAGAAGATCAGTATTCCCACTTCTTGAGTTCCATACCCATCTAGTGATGTGCTCTCCACTTTCTTAGTCCCAACTTCTTTCCAATTTGTCGACAGTACCGTCCCGTTTGATTGAGCCTGTCAAACCCAAAAATCACCCAAGCATGCATATATCATCAGTAAAAAAAAAACAAAGGAGAAAGTTATAAAACTAAAAAAATAAAGACCAAAGAGAGGTTTGCTCACAAATGATTTGTTCATAGCTCGCCTCATGTCCTCATTTGCACTTGAGTATATATCGCTGAAAAATTTGTTCATAGCCGCATCTCCATCAAGATTCTCATCCTTCTCCTGCGAAATTCAAAAGTGATAAGCAGAAAGAATAAAATTAAAGCAAAGCCTCTAGTGTTAAGGATGAGAAGTTTGCGTTTGTGGAACCTGTTTCTTCACTTCAGCTTCCAGCTTGTCCCAATCTTTTGCTGGCTTAGAAGATGGGTACACTGGTCTCTGCGACAACGCTGCATATACACATAAAATTAAATGAGAGACCGCTTTGGCTTCAGTTTGTTTAAGCTCTTATACTTTTGGTTCATATGTCGAATAAAATATACCTTACCGAACAATCTCGGCTGGAGATGATAAGCTTCCTCTCCGGCAACATCAATGATAACACTCAGCTGCACCAAAAAAAGCCAAGATAGATATCTCAAATCGATACAGAGGGTTAGATTACAAAGGGAGATATGTTTTTAAGGAATGCAAATGAAGCTTCCATTGGGAGATGAAAGTTTCTTTTGATGGATTTAGGAAAACGTTATTTTGGATCGATGATGTGAGAAGTTGTCAATAGTTCGAGTATTTATAGTGGTTTAAGTTAGGTCACAAAGATCTTGATGACCAAGCATAGTATCTTTAAAATCATAACAAAATTGGAATAAAGGAATATGCCATTAGGTGTAGTAAGTAGTTCTGATTGCCTATATTTTCTCGAAAATATGCTTAACAAAAATAGAAAATAAAAGATTTGTTTCGATTTATTTATGTTATAATATTAGCATTAAATTGTAAATATTGATTTCCTTATTTTAAAAGTCATACCAATAAGAGATTATTCTTTCGGTAAAGTATTACTATTCCATAGCATTAAATGGTTTTATGTTAGAATTAAATATTCATAATTGATTTCATTAACTATATACATACCAAAAATGCATTACGTGATACCAAGGGATATATCAAAGATGAGATATTAGGTTATTACGTTTGTCAAAATCGGAAACGTAAATATTACGTTTAATGTCATGCAATACTTGATATTTTTTTTAGAAACAGAATTGAATATGAGCGAGAATTTTGGCAAGGATTAGTTGAGTTTAAGAATATTGTATGTTAATTTATTTATTGTCATTATCATTTGAATATTTGATTTCCATATGTTAGGATCTCAAATCTCGTTTTTTCAAAAATAGGAATTGTTAGAAGAGTTTATTAATTGATTTGTAAATTTCATTAAGACATATATTTTGTCAGATTTTATTTGTAGGGACTAAATGTACAATATTGAAATTGTAAAAGGATTTTTTAGGCCAAATCTTCACCAAAAATGTATATATAGATGTATATCAAATCTCTTTCACATAGATATTTTTGATCAAAAACTACACTTCAGACCTTTACTTTGTTAAAATGCTAACGGAAATCTATACTAGTATTTTTGCAACACTTTGGTGACGGGTGGGTAAAAATGCTTCTGGGTTAATCGGATATCCGACCCGTTTTTTAAAATCCTTCACAAAAAATTTGTTGGGTCGGATTATATTTAACCCAACTCATACACCGGATATTCTATATTTAATAATTTAGATATTTAGAAGATTTGATTAAGATTTAGAATTATGATTCTTCTATCATCTTTGTTTGATTTGTTTTTAACTGTTTTGAATCATCATATAATACATAAAGTAAAAAAAAAATCAATTTTTTTTCAGCATATACTGTGATTCGAAATTTTAAAAACGGACATATATTATCTAATTGACGAAAATGTGTGTTCAACGTTCTACATCGATTAAAATATTTAGACAGTGATTCAGAATCATATCATAAATAAGATCAACAATAATAAAATAAATGAGTTTTTTGGCTGGTGGGATTTGGCGGGACGGGTTTTTGAATCAACAATAATAAAAAGATTAAAATATCATTAATCCGCAGCTTCAATACGGATTAAATCCTTATTTTTTTTAATACCACCAATATTAGACATATTAAATCAGTCTCATTTAGAAAAGATTGTATAAAACCAAAAATTGTCCCGTGGTATAATTTTACTTAATAACAATATTTATAAAATTTTAAATATCATTAACATGCCGCTTTAATACATATTAAATCTTCAGTTTATTAAAATATAAATGTCTTAGAGAATGATATGATTTGTAAACTTTTATATATAATAAATAATCATTAAATTTTAAAATAAAAACAAATCACGGGACGGGTTAAAAAATTACGGAACAAGTTATATTTCGGAAAGGATTTATATGGCGGACGAATTTGAATCAATATTTATATACCGCTTTAATACGGGTTAAATCCTCAGTTTATTAATAATTGTCTCGTGGACTCGTGGTATACCGTTACTTAATAACAATGGTAAACTATAATATAAATAAATATGTTATAAGAAGATACAATTTACAAAATATTTTTATACTAACTTTAAAATTAAATCATCCCGCGGTGTACCGCGGATTAAAATCTAGTTACTCTATTACAAATATAGTGAAAAAGTTTATATAAAAATAACGCCGATTAATCCCTAGTGCATTTTAATACTTTCTTAACATTGAATAGAGAAAATAGTTACCAAACAATAACTACCACCAACGACTTGGGTTAGGTTTAATGATCTTTTAGGACTAACTAATCCACTAAGGAAATAAATACTAGGTTTTATGTTTTCCCAATTAGAGTTTTTAGCACCCACTTCACAAAAGAAAAATAAGTTAATGTAAGAAATAATAACGAGGATGTGCATGCATCATTTGTTGAAAACTTGAAAATAAAACATTGAAGGGCCCAACACATGTAAGACCATCATGGGTCAAGATTCATAGCCATAACCTCATATTTGTACCATGATTTTAGTTTTTATTGCCACAATTATGAGCATTGTGACTCCTTTATGCCAACGGGGATTTAAGATTTAAGGTCAGAAAAAGACTCCACTCCAATATGCTATTATTATGTGTAAGGGCCATCGACTTTTGCTTGGCTCGGATAGTTTCTAAATAGATACATGTAGGGATATATGATTCGTATTTCGTTCAAACTAGATGAGCAAATTTATCCCAAACCCTAACTATAATTTGTTTTTTTTTTAAATTCCTTTTTAATACTAAGATATAGATTTGATATAAAATCTTTAGTTATTATCAATTACGATGGAATGCGTATAATTATAATCCAGTTTGTTATTATAAAATATATAGTTAAATTGTATTAAGAATGGAGTGCAAGAGGTGTAAATTCAGCCTTAAAAAAATTACCAAATAAAATATAAAAAATGTGCAGACTACCACTTAGAATTCAAATCTTATCAATAAAACTAGGTGATTGCCCGCGCGCATGCGCGGGAAGAATGTTGTACGAATGGTAAAATCATGTGAAATAAGGGATTGTTTAGGTGTTACTTGGTAGTGTAAGAAAATATGGTAAATTGTTTAGGGTTTAGTGTGGTAAAAATATGGAAAATGATGAAATTTAAAAAATTCAATATAATATTATAAATGCTAAGAAAATAATAATAAATCATCCTTTAAAAGCATTCACCAAGAAAATAAGAAATCAACGAACATCATCATTCCATGGCATTCTCCTTCCGTGTGATGATCGGTACTTGGTCATTTTCAGGATTCCTGACATCCGATTTAGAACACCATAAACAGTGAATGTTTAGTCGCCAACTTTAGAGTTTTGATTGTAAACGGAAAAAAAATACTTACCAACAAAGCATCTCGTCGGTAATACTGAGATCCGGATTCAACATAATCCTCGTACTTCCGGTAACATTGGTACATCTCCACCTATTTTCCTGTGATAGCTCTAATTTCACAAACTTGATAATACATATCACTGTGTTACGTGAACGATGCTTCCATAAGTCATAGAACTCGACTGCAAGGTCACCCGTTAAACGACACTCTAGATGGATACACCTAAATTTAAGATTTGAAGAAGCCATAAGACTTTATATTCTGGTTTAAATCTATAAAAGAATGGTGACTTACTCAGTATCACGTAAACCAAAGTACAGCTCAAATGTGCAGACTACCACTTAGAATTCAAATCTTATCAATAAAATTTAACCTATATTTCTTATATCCACATATTTATATGGGTCATAATATAGTTAAAATAAAATAGAGGTGGATGATTTATTTTTGGTCCCGAGTTCAAATCGATATGATCCAAAAAAATATGACCTGTTTATTTAATATTTTAAATTTTACCTCACCTTTCCTTCAAAAAAAAATTGATATGATAGCAACATATATAAGTTAACATTTGTGTGGGAAGTCTGGGCTTGGACCTTTGGCCCAAACAGTTTACCTGGTAGTCCAGTAACAGACGATCTGGCTACCCCTGACATTAGTCGGAAAGCATTCCAAACTCGGGATATACAGTGTGGTGGCCCTTCGGGGAGAAGTTCACTCTGAAGCACTTCGGTGCGTTTCTACTGGGGCTGACCGGATCAGCCGATAGGGTTTATCAAAAAAAAAAAAAAAAAAACATATATGTTAGTCATCATATTTCATCATGTATAAAAACCTTTTCCAATCAAAAATTTTCATGTGTCAAAAAATATAAGCAATACTGGGTTCACCCCTAGGGGTGAATCTTTTTATTCACCCATTTTTATTTTAACCAATCAGAATTCGCCATATAATAAAGAATATTAAATTCATTTAATTATTAAATTTAATCTCTAACCACTCTTTTATTAACCCAAACCGATATATAATCTCGTTTAATTACAAAATCTAAACCCTAATTCTCCTTTGTAAACCCAAACCGCCATTTAAACTCGTTTAATCGTAAAAAATCTAAACCCTAATCGTACTTTTAAATCCAAACTGACATTTAACCTCGTTTAATTATAAAATCTAAATCCTTTATAAACCCAAACCGATATTTAACCTCGTTTAATCATAAAATCTAAACCCTAATCGTACTTTCTAAACCCAAACCGACATTTAACCTCGTTTAATTATAAAATCTAAATCCGTTTATAAACCCAAACCGATATTTAACTTCGTTTAATCATAAAATCTAAACCCTAACCCTTTCTAATAAACCCAAACCGATACATAATTTTGTTTTAGTGGCAAATTAGATTTTATAATTAAATAAAAATTTTATTATTATTATTAGGTGGCAGATTCTTATTGGCTGAAATAAAGGGGGTGAATATAAAGGTTCACCCCTAGGAGTGAACCCAAGTATTTTTCAAAAAATATATACCAATTTAAAAAAAGAAAAAATAAAGTCAAATATGAAAAGAGTATAAATGTAAATCAAATAGAAAATAGATATATGAGTAATGAGTATCACAAAAAATATTTTCTAGTTAGTCACTTAGTTGTTATATGTCAAAAAATAATATGTCGATTCAGAAAAAAGAAAAAAATAAAAAGTCAAATACGGTAAAATTACAAGTCAAGCCGAATACAAAAATAAAAATATGAGTAGCAAATAATATGAAGTAAACTTAATTCAAATATGAATAGGAAAAACTAAATATTTGGAAACATGTGAAAAAAATAAG